ATTGATTGATTGATTGATTGATTGATTGATCGATTGATTGATTGATTCCCCTATCCCGACTCCCCCCATCCCGCCTCTCACACATACACATACACACACACACACAATCAATCAATCAATCAATCAATGAAATCAAACAATCAATCAATGAATCAAGATCCCATCGATTCGATAGGATGTTGACTGATTGATTGATTGTGTGATTTGATTGATTGATTGATTGATTGATTGATTGATTGATTGATTGGTTGGTTGGTTGATTGATTGATTGGTTGATTGATTGATTATGTATGTATAGATAGATAGATAGATAGATAGATAGATAGATAGATAGACAGAGAGAGAGAGAGAGAGAGAGAGAGAGAGAGAGAGAGAGAGAGCGAGAGAGTTGTTTTTTTATTTTTTCTATTATTTCTCTGCACTCATCCATTTTGCTTTGTTTTTTTGTGTGGTGATGCAGGTGCTATCAACCGGTTGTCGGGGCGTGTGGCAGGAGGGGAGCTGCTTACGGCCGGACGGGCGGGGGGTTGAAGGGGGTTGACAATCTCTCGCAAACATACGCGTGATTATGAGCCTGCGCCCGAACATGTGCAACAGGATTTCCGGTGAAAGGCTGCTGTGTACCGTTACATTGTCGTCGCCTAGAAGGTCGATAACAAGGGGGTTAACATGCTACGGTGCACCTTCTACAATAAGGTTTGGCAGGGAACCCTGTACTATGCAACGAAACACTTCACTTAGCCAAACTATTGCAAGAAGGTGTCTGATGAAGCCTTGTTCCAGATTGCGCAGAAATGCACACACTGCTTCGAGGCCGACCAGGAAGAGAGGGTCCGACGGTACGCACAAGAGCGTGGTCTTAATGTCCCGCGGTCTAGTTCGATGGGTGGCGAGGCGGAGCATCCTGCACAGGGCGTGGGCGAGCGAGAGGATAGCCCACGTTCTGCGGAGGGAGGTGTTGCGAGAGATGGGGAGGGTGGGGGTGCCGCGGAGGAGGACGAGACGAACGTCGACCTCAAGGTTGGCGTGGCTGAGGGGGAGTGGACGCCGAGGGGAGAGGGCGGCGTGCCCGAGTTCGATCCGGTGAGTCGTCAGAGGGCGTAGGATTGGGAGCGGAGCTGGGGGAAGAAACCCATCCCGCCAGAGACAACGTGCACGCCGGGTTCTTCGAAGACTCATGTTCATGAGATAGCATGCACGCCAGGTTTTTCCAAGAGGAAGGACGGGGGTGCACATCTTTATGCCACCAAGGCCGGGAAGAGGCTGCGGCAGTAGAAGGTAACGGACATGTCTGGTGACGAGTGGATTGGTCGTTGGAGGAAGGCATTCTTTCGCTGGGCGTATTCCTGTGGGATTGCCTTCAAAGCCTTCCGCAATACGTCGTGGAGGGATCTTTAGCAGGTTGCTCTTCAGCATCCTGGTGGAGGACCTCTTCTCGTGCTTCCCTCCCATAACGAGATCGCAAGCATGCGAGCTGCGGAGATCCACCGCGCGAAGTTGGGGGAGGAGTTGGAGGAGGTGAGGCAGCCATTATGGCTGAGTGGCGCCACCCTCCTCTCTGACAGGAGGAAGTCACGAGACGGACGACCGATCATGAACTTTCTTGCAGCTGGGTCTCGAAGGGTCGTCATGTACACGGCGATCAACCGAGAGGGGGAGCCGGACGATGCGGTGCATGTTATGCAGAGATGGGTCACCATCTTTCATGGATTCAGGTTCGGTGGCCCACAGCGAGTCAATGCTATATGCACTGACTCCGCCTCTGCGTACGTGGGGGCTGCCAGGGCTTTGGCCTCGGTAGCTATGCCCCCTGAGCTGAGGAGGATTACTTGGCTCCCGTGCTGCGTCCATACCTGCAACAAGTTGTTGTCAGACATTGGCACGATATGCACCTCTTTCTTGGACACAATCACGCGTGCCCGAGTTCTGGTGGTGTTTTTCAAAACCCACCAGGCCGCTCTCAGCATCTTCCGCAAGCGCAACCAGGCGTTGGGGCTCCTACTTTCATGCGAAATGCGATTTGCGTCGTTGTACTCAATGTTGGAGAGGCTGTTGGCTCTGCAGGATCGTTTGTAGAGCATGATGACAACGGATAATGGGCGGGCTTGGGCTAGGATCCCGTGGTCCTCCGACGTCCGCGACATGGCGCGTTGGGTGAGTCCACATATCAGGTGGTTCCCTTATTGGGAGAGGATGCAGGCCATCAAGCACGTCATGGATTCCGTCATGGACTTGCTGAGGCGGATGGACCATGGCGGGCAGTTCATATCCCTCGTTGTAGAGTGGACTCAAGATCTTACATGCCTCGTGCAGGAGGGAGGCAGCGGGACGCTTGCATCCCTCTTGGCCTGCTTCTTTCTGAACGTGTCATGAGGCGTGTGCAGACCCGTATATAGCACATGATGGAGCCTGCACACTGGTGACTACGGGGCGTTCTTACTGAACCCCCGTGGCGGGGATGTTCAGTACTTCTCCGCGCAGCTCGACGAGTAGTAGTCGAGTACCACACTTGGCTTGTTCGACAAGCCAAGAGGTATCTGTTGTCTAAGACAGGCTTCGGCGAGTCGGGTGCTCGTTACCTTGAGGTATGTCGGCAGTACGAGGACTTCCACATGCAGCAGGGTAGGCATGGGACTTGGGGCGGGGCAAAGGGCCGTGTTCGAGGGCGTAGTTGCAGCGGGGATTGCGAGACGATGGAGTGTGCGTCGTGGTGGTCTCAGTACAGGGGAGACACACGTGATTTACAGTATTGCGCCCTTCGTTTGATGCACATGTGGTCCTGCGCCTCTTCAACGGAGAAGAATTGGGCGGTCCATGAGGGCATCCATACGAAGAAGCGCAATTAGTTGGCTTTCGAGAAGGTCGTCCATCTTGTTGAGATCACCGCAAATGTGCAGTTAATGGAGTATAGACATGAAGGTTGTGGATACGTCCTTCCTTGGCAGCGAGACGAGGGTATGATTGACGCTTCGGCGGGATTGGAGGTGGAGTTTGTGCGTTCGAGGACGAGGAGTGGGATGACAAAGGAGGAGATCGAGGAGCATGCTGCCCTCATTACGTGCGATCCCATCGGGTCCTCTGCGCCGCCCCCTGTTGAGTCTGTTTTTGGTGCTCGTGCGGCTATCTTCCGTCCATACCCCAGGGTCTAGCGTAGCCCGTCAGCTCGTTTTGGAGCCAGTGGTGGAGGAGAAGGAGAGACGAGCGGAGGAGCACAGAGCAGGCAGAGTTGAGGGTATTCGGGGTATGGAGGACGAGGTAGCTGGAGCAATAGGGATAGGGTTGTTGCCTACGCTGCAGGAGAGAGCACGGGGAGACGATCGAGCGCAGTTTGAGAGAGAGGGGGGCATGGTGGAGGTGGATGATGCTGCGTAGGTCGAGAGAGAGGAGGCTGTGGCGATGGTGCATGATGGTGAGCAGGTTGAGAGAGAGGAGGACGTGGTAAGGACGCAGGTTGAGAGAGACGAGGACATGGAGAGGGTGGATTACAGTGCGCGGGTTCGGAGAGAGGAGGCCGTGGTGGGCCCACAGGTAGAGAGAGAGGAGGACGTGGTGAGGCCGCAGGTTGAGAGAGAGGAGGGCGTGGCAGGGGTAGACGATGATGATGCGCAGGTTGAGATAGGGGAGGACGTGGTGAGGGAAAATGTTGATGTGTTGGTTGGGGGAGAGGAGGGCATGGTAGGGGGGGACGTCGCCCATGGCAGAGGAAAGGGGAGCGGCCACCTTCAAGTTGACCCGATCGTCCAAAGTTTTATCACTGACGAGATGGGTCCCGCACTAGCGGGTTTGACCCCGGGCACAATGACGGCAATGGGGGTGTCGCCATTAGGAGAGAGGGGGGCTTCAGGGATGGGGATGCGAGATTTCATGGAGATGTATTTGGGGGATCCTCCCTGCCCTTCTCACACAGAGAGAGAGGATACAGCGCGTGCCCTAGCGGCCGCCGGCTACTCCACAGAGGAGATCGAGCAGGCATTCACAGGATATTCCGGGAGTTGTACACGAGACACGCTCCAGCAGGGGTGCGAGGAGGTACGAGAGCGACCTCAGGAGGAGCGTGAGGATGCACTTGCTGCAGATATCCTCGGAGGTAGTGGTTCGTTGGTACGGTTCACGGGCCTGCAGCTGACGACGACGACGTGGGCAGTTCTTCCATGTGTGCAGGGGTCAGGTCCTTAGGAGGTGGCATCTGTTCAGGTACCACCGGTCATAGTGGTCAATTTAGGATTAGAGCTACCGCTTCAGACACCAGTTAGTGGGTAACAAGCTCCTCAGGATACAGCTTGCCCATTGGATGTGACGGAGCTCGCACAGGCTGCTGTGCATGACGTCACACGGCAGGAGGACACCGACCCACGCAGACCACTCATGCCGCCTCCTCCTTCGATATCACATCACGATGATTCCCCCTCGACACCAGTGCGTCCACCCCCCCGCTCACCATCCATGGCCGACAGACCCAGGGTTCCATACGAAGGGTGTACGGAGTCTCCCTCTCGACACGTCGTTATTCAGGAGGACGAATATCGACCTGGACTCCACGCGTTGGGTCACAGTGCACACTGCATGACGCCAGCCAGGTTTGGGTGGTGCTGACACCGGGAGCGGTGCGCCGAGGGAGGTCATGGCGACAGTATCTTAGCCGCAGCATGTTCGTGGGGGTGGAGAGGTCGGGTCTACCTTGCAGCACGCTTTGGCAGCAACATCACGTGTTGTGCGTGACCAGACTCCACGCAGGAGCGGAGCAGCTCGTACGCGTCCCATGCCTGCGGCGGGGGGTACCGCATTGGGGGAGTCTTTTGAAGGTGAGGGGTTGGGGATGCCGCGCGGTTCACGTCGTGAGAAGATTATCGCACAGGTGACTGAGGTGAGTGCTAGGGTTGTTCGGGTTCAGACTGGGGCTGACCCTGTCACCGTAGTGGAGACGATTCCGAGACGGAGCCGGCACACGGGGAGGCCGCAAAGGAGGATGACGAGTACAGGGACGACGAGGACAGTGAGGAGGAGGAGAGCGACATCGGGGAGGACGACAACTACGACGATGACGGCGAGCCCTCCCCTCCAGTGCGGCGTCGTTCCCGTAGACGAGGAGAGGAGGTTCAACCGACGAGACGACATGGTTCGAGTAGACGACACGACGACGTCAACGACCCGTCCCCTCTAGGGCGGCAGGAGACGAGGAGACGAGGGTCATCCGTTGCGACCGTGGCGGAACGAGGGAGTGTTTTATTGACACGCACCACAGGTGGGGAGAGGCGGAGAGGCAGTGGTAAGGGGAAAGGAGGTCGACGGTATTGACAGCTTCGTTCCCCTTCCACGTCGCCTTTATGTTGTTTGTCCATCGATGTTCTTACCATTTTATACGTTGTTTAGGATGATGTACATATAGTTAGGTTTAAAGCACTTAGGACCAGTTCCTGGACTTTAGTAAGCTGGTAGTGTCGTCGAGAGTTTTTTTTTTTTTTTTTTTTACTTTTTTGGTTTATGTACGGCATTTTCATTTTTTTTTTTAGTTATTGGATTTATGTTCGAGGTGGGACTTCATTCCGACTCGTCGTATTGCGCAGATGTTTGTTTGGGTTTTCTTTTCAGATTTGTTAGTTAGCGGTGTAGGCTGCATCCCATCGCTGTACGACTCCGTACGAGTGTCGACGACATATTGTATCATGTGACATGTATTTCATATTGGACTCGTATATACGATTTCGGCATGACTTTTGTATTAGATTTCATGACTCCTTTGTTTTCATTGTACTTCCATGTTCTTCTGTGCGTTTTTTTTTTTTTTTTTTTTTTTTTTTTT